CTGGAATGCAATAAAGTTATTTGCACATCCGAATATTTTAAGAGTGTTAATACAATGAAAATTTCAATAACTAACAAAAAAATGTGAAAATTTGGCTAATTTGATTAGAGAACGAACCATTCATTAAAAAATATGAGAATTTTTTGGAAGCACCGATATCTTCAAGAAATTTCAGAGAACTTCTAAGAAATATAGATACTGTTAGATAGTTTCATGATATTCAGTGAAGCTCCGAGTACTTCGAGACTCGAGTTCCAACAGATTGTTCAGAACAATCCCATCAACTTACGGAAATTTGCAGCGATTTACACGGAGTTCCGTGGAATTATGGGATATTCCAAGAATTCTATCGTTGATCGAAAAACTTCAGAAACGTCAGGGAATTATGAATATAAATATCAGAAAATAAATTTTAATATCATCAGAAAAGTCTAGGCTATTGAAGAAGTTATGAATTAATGTCGATAATTATATGGCAGTTCCACGAACTTCTGAGAAATCTTGAGAACTTCAGTGAAAATCATAAAACAATATTTATTATTTCGTTTCGATTCCAAGAAAATTCCGGGAGCTTGAAGAAGTTGCTAGCATTTCAGAACAACTTCGAAAACTTCACAAAAGTGCAGAGATCTTCAGAAACATTTCGATAAATTCATAGAATTCTATGGAACTTAAGGGAAGATCCGAGATTTTCAGGAACTTTCATGAACATTAGCAAAATGCGAGAGCATTTCAAAGAACTTTAGTAAGCTCCAAAACTAGGTGAATTTCAGGGGGTGTAAGTTCAATTAGCTTCAGAAAATAAGCCCCAAAATTTCCGAAAATTTAAGATATGTTAAGAAAATTATGTTCGGATGTTCACGGAATTATTAGGACAGCTCAATTAGCTTCATGAGAACTGCAAAAACTTAAGAGAAGTTTAGAGATCTTCAGGAAAGAACAGAGAACCTCAGAGCAGTTCCGTTAACATTAGAAAAATTACATATATTTTAAAGAAGTTTAGAGAATTGTTAAAACTTTTGAGAAGATCGAAGTCCGAAAACGGTCAGAGAAGTTTAAACATTTGATGAAAAGTACTGTGAGCATCATGCTAGTTTCTTGAACTAAAAGAGAACTTCACGGTAGTTCCGTTAACGTCAACAAAATATTAGGAACTTTCGAGTAGTTCGGAAGACCTCAGAATAGTCCACTTCATATACATTGAAGATTTCTCGTGCAAATTCACTTGGAGTTCTCTTCAGCATTCGCTTTCTATTCTCCCGAAACTCTAATGGAATTGTTTTAGAAATTCAGTTGGAACGGTTCTTTAATTTGTCTAAAAAATATCACTAGAATATTCCTAACATACTATTCGCAATTGCATTGAAATATTCATCAAAATTTCGTTGGAACTATCCACCGAATTCAATTTTATTTTTATTTTCCTCGCAATTACCTTGAAATCCTCCTCAGTAAGACACCATTTTGAATGATTCTCAGAAATTTCATTCAATTTGATTCTCATTAATTTTGAATCTCACTCCTTCCCTTGGAATCCAAGGATTTATTCTCCAGATTCCGAAGTTGGAATTTTTCTCTGAAGTTCACTGGAGTTCTGCTCCTCCGAAATTCCTTTTCATAAAAAATTTACTTTGAAATTAATTCAAGGTTTTTCTTGATATTCTACTCAAAACTATCTCAGGTTTCACACGAAATCTAAAATTCCTCAGAACTACCGAAGCAGATTGCACTTGATGTTTTTCTCAAAGATTTCCCCCCAGAACTTCCTTGGAATGAGCCTTTTTTCTCTGTTCGGGACCTAACACCACTGCGACCAGTAATTTGATCTATTGTTGTATGTTCCGTGTCCTTAGTTTAGTGCACGTCGTATTACCAACCGGTGGAAGCTAACGACTTTAAATTGGCTCACTACTTGAATAGCCTATTGGTCCCAAGCAAATCGATTAGTGTATCCCATTCTAGTCAAAATTCTAGTACTACACTAAGTTTGTTTTGATTCGCTATGAAAGTTTGACAGATAAAATGAGGGGTTCGTAGATTTTCCTATGTTTCGAGGGGTGCATCGATTAGTTTGGGACCGAAGATAGTACCAGAACTGAGCCTAAAAGTTGAGCATGGTTCTTCGGGACCTTCTGGGACCTCTATGGTATTACCATAGAGGTAACTCTAAGACCACTGGGTCCCGAAGAAAATCATTATTATTTTTGGCTCACTCAGTACCAGAACAACGGTCCCAAGCAGTCCCAAGCTATTTCACTCACCCCTGCATGTTCTGCATGAATCCACACACCCCTGATGTTATCTGTCAAACTTTCATAGCGAATCAAAACAAACATAGTGTAGTAATAGAATTTCAACTAGAATAGGGTACGTTAATCGTTTGCTTGGGACCAATAGGCTACTAAAGTGGTGAGCCAATTTAAAATCGTTAGTTTCGTATTGATTGTTGGTATTACTCCATCATTATAGAGAAATGATGAAGTATTCGATTTTTTTACAGTTGTCATTCTTGCATTTATCGCAAGAATCCGACTCAAATTGAAAGATCCCGTTATTTATACCCTTCGGAGTGTTGAAACACCCTCCAAAGGCGCCCCTCTTTGTCAGTCAAAATTGGATTCGTTACCAACAAAATAAAGCAATGACACCGATCAGTGTTGGGAAAATAACAAAAAAATTAAATCTCACCAACGCCCAAGATCACGCTTGATTTTCGTAGACAAAAATCAACAAGCAAACAACTGCGATTGATTTTGCAAGCTGTGATATCGCAGCTCGGAATATCAAGCTAACAAAACTCGCCAACTGCAAATCTCACCAGACTGTGGTGAGATCGAGTTTAATGATGTTTGCTTTACACCCGAATGCAACCGAAACTTCCATAACGGCTTGCAGCAGTCCCTTCGCGTCTGCCATCGGTGAAGATTAAAAAAAAGATAGCAAACTATGCTTTCTCTTTCTAAGAAAACGATGTGCAATGGAATCATTTTTGTGTCGAGTCAACTCTCAGCTTGATTTTTGCACGTTGTGAATAGTCTCGCAATATCAAAGGAGCTTGTAAAATCAATATCGAGCATGATATTTTATTCCAATATCACGCGTGATATTGCGAGCGCATGAGAGCTGGAAAGTATCAACTGATTTCTGATTTTGCCAACACTGACACCGATAATGACCATGCATCAGAACCCTAGTCTTAACCACATCAAGGGAACAACTAATTGAAGATTAGGAATCACATATATGAAGACTAACTAACTCATTTTTCCTTGTTTCAAGCTCATCCTCGGTGGACAAAACCGAGTCTTATCACTATCAACAAGGCATAAAAAGTAACAAGGACTAAGATGTGTTCCTTTGATTACTGAAAAATGCTGTTCCCCTAGTTTGAAGTAGTCAGGACTAGGAATCGGTGGTAGATCTTACATCCCGTAACGTACCACGAAAAGATGATCTACCCACGTTACGGGGCTCGAATGAGCCTTTAAAACTGTGCAAAAAATTTGACTCCAGATTCTTTAAAATCTTTTGAAGTATGGATAAGAGAGCATCCCGCTCTCCAATTCCAAACTTCTAATTGTTCTGATCAAATTAATTGAAAGTAAGTTCAATATCACCATTGCAATGAGTATTGACCAATTAATTTGTTTCAAGCCATAAGAAATCCATGCTCACTATGCTCCTCTTTCCCCTATTAAAACTTTTAAGTACAGAATTTCAAAAACTTGTTCTATTTTAAAATTTGTAAGAGTATGCATATTCCATAAAAAAAAAACATTTCAAGCCTCTTAATTTTAAATTTATTTCCTACTGAAGATTTATCCACTCTAGATATATAAAGATCAATGAGTGAATGAAAATGACGAGGAAAATCAAGTGTTAGTATTTTAAAATGCATTATTTTCTTTAAAATATGTTTAGTAAGAAAATTATCAAATTCTCTGAGACTTCCAGGTATTTTATGGAAAAATAAAATTACCTGAAAATTCCCGGTTTTCCAGGTTTCCAGTAGACACCCGGCTAATGCCGTGGATTTGGTTTTAAACTTTATGTTGAATCTGTACAGGGTGGTTCGGAATAACTGTCACTTTTAACACGATGCCTACGGTAAAATGTGTAACGGCAAACTTGCAATGTTTGAAAAATCATAGCTCAACCATTTATTGACGAGTTTCGAATCTTTTGCCGCCATTTGAAACTACAGACTTTAAAGATTCATACGGTTAAATTGCTGCGTAATCATTTTTCAAAGATTGCCAATTTTTCATTACACATTTTACCGGAGGCATCGTGATCGGAGAGGTCAAAATGGTTATAACGATTGAACGCTTGCATGAATTTTAGCATACTTTAATTAAAATCACTCTCCCTTTACCTTAATTACCAGTTCCAGCACTTGTTGAGTCTGACAATGCGTCTAACTTGAACGGATTTTCCAAGCATGGTTCTTTTATACCTCTATAATGAGGCGAAAAATAAATGTTTCATTCTTTCGAAGAGATTTCAGTTCCTAAAAGATAACATACGAATTTATACAGATTTATGAAATGCTCCACTTAAGTAATATTTTGTTAAGATTTTTTTAATGTTTATTAAAAACTAGAAAAACATCGTGTCATATAATAAACCAATTACCATTTATAAAGCTACTGAAAAAAAAAAATTACGATAAGTTATCAGAAACTACTGATAGACCTTATTTTCTGATTCAGAAATCTTATAACAGTTTTGACATTTTTAGTTAGTCTAACATGTTTCGAATATTTGCTCTAGAAAAAAGAATTTTGTTGGACTTAAATGGAATGGATAGTTGAATTAGGCTTCAAGCATTAAGCATGCAACAGATTTTTTGTAAAATATGTTTAATAAGTTGGTTTTTAAGCGGGTCGCCATATTGCCCCACTTGCCCCTATTGTTACTTGATTATAATTGGGACGGCTTAAGCAATAATTTCTGCCTAGAAACAATGGATACAACTCTTTTCCAAATCCCCATTCCAGATCCCACGATGCAGCTGCAGGTGACCACCGATGTTACTGCCATGGGTCCGATAGCAAGTCCATCGCCCACATCTCGTAACCAGTTCGTTTCTCCGGTCAACAAAAGTCGGATGGTTCCACTTGGACAAAATACACCGTCAAGTCCGGTTTCCAACTTCCAGCATCCGGGGATGCCCGGTCGTCCAATGTCGGTTTCTTTGCAGCAGCAGCAGCAGCAACAGCGTCAACTTCCCGGGCAGCAACGACTCAATCAGAGCCCATTCTCTCCTCAGTCTCAACCTCCGCAATCGCCACACGATATGCTACCAGGTTCACCGGCCAGTCAATCCGGCCTTGATCCATTTGCCAGACCACCTTCCGAAGGCGTACAGGATAGTTACATGCATCATTCTCCACAAACACCGCGGTCGGTCGGTCACCAGAGTCCTATTCAGACACCAAATCGAAGTCCAGCCTATTCCGGTCAACCAATGCCTAACACTCAGAATGCAATGAGAATCAATCTGGATACACCGTACGCACAGGCTCCTGGAACTCCTAGGCCTCAATTTTCCGGAAATTCAGGCCGACAGACAGTCTACGCTAGACCCGGTGACCTGTTCGGTCCTGTTCCGAATTCTCCATTCACATCTCCTCGCTCGGATGGTTTCAATCAACCTGTAATCCAGGAAGGCAACCGCCAGTTGCGAGATCTTCTGCAGCGACAACAATTGCCAACTACCGGTCTAGGTCAAGTGATGGTGCAACCTCAGCAACCAACCTTGCAATCACCGCAACCCATGCAACCTCAGTCTCCATTCATGGAAGATCCACAATCTGCAGGACAGCTACAACAAACACAGCAACAGCAGCAGCAGCAACAACAACAACAGCAGCAGCAGCAGCAGATACCTCAGCATCAACAATTGCCTAATCCTCAAATGCAACCAGCACCTATGGACAACGTTACCTTCAGGCAACCTTTGCCTCCCAACATGATGCCTCGGCCTCGGTTGCAAATGCCGGCAAGTGGAATTCGGCAGCAGGGTCCCAATATGGTGCCAGGACCTGGTGGTCCTGGTATCCGGCAGCAGATTGTCCGAACTGCTGCAGGCGGTCAAATGTTGATTACTCAACAGTTGCAGCAGCAGCAGATGCTGCGACAACGCATGCAGTTACCTAATCGTCCCGATGGACCTTTTATTGGGCAACTGCAATCTGGAGGGCACATCCAATCACTCGGACAGCAACAAATTGGACAAATGTCGGGTTCATTGACTTCTCAAACGGATCAGCAAAATATTGCATTGCTAGCACAGAGGTTGGCCGGCGAAGGTGATGCACATGTTCCTTCATCGAATGCTGCTCCGGCCAGTTCGACAGCCATTACACATGGTGGAGCGAATCCGGCGCAGACATCTGCTCCATCGCAGCCGGCAAGTGGTGGAGAGGGAGCTTCCGAGATACCGGATAGCGTTTCGGCTGAGCTGGAAAAACTCGAGCAGGAGGACAATACCGGAATCGGTGAGGTGGAGGGCGTTGGAGATATACTTGGTGGGTTGGGGGATGACGACGACGAACTGCTAGATTCCTTGACGGCTGAGATGGGCGCAGATTTCAATATTTTGGAATATGCCGATCCGGAACTGGATACGACGGATGGCGAGAAGTCCAATTTGCTGGACAGTTTGGAATTGGACGAACCGGAGGGGGATAAATCGGAGGACAAAGCGAAAGCAGGTCCATCTGGAGATCCGAGCAAACCGGAAGCTGATGAGAAGACTGATGATTCCAAAGCGGTACGATCCACGACGGTGGTGCAGTCCACTGTAATGACGGCGTCTACTTCGGTGGTTACTCAACAGCAGCTATCAACAGGGGTTATGGTGCAAAGTCAACAGCAGCAGCAGCAGATGATGCAAACTCAACAAATGCAAACAATGCAGCAACAATTACCACCTCATCATCAGCAACAACAGCAGTCGCAAGTGATGGGACAACAACAACAACCCACACAGCTTCAGCAGTTGATTGGCAGTGGTCAACCGATGGGTCCACAACCCCAAGGTCCACCTCAGCAACTTCAACAGCAACTGCTTGCTGGGCAAATGAAGACAATACGACAAAACATGCTGACACCGGCGCATCTTCAACAAATTCAGCAACAAATGCAACACCAGGTGTGCAGCAAATTTAAATTTTTTGACTGGATGTACCATTACTTTCTCGGTTTGCACTTTCTTTCAGGTTCAACAGGCTGCAGCAATGGGAAAGCCAATGCCCGTTGGAACGCAGTTGCTATCGAAAGAAGGTGCTGTCGGGGTAGTTACTGCTAATAATACTGTTTCCGTGCGCGTTTCAACAGGGTATGACTAAAATCCATTTAAAACAACAATAGATGTGTAGGCTAATTACTTGTTTCCATTTCCGACAGTTTGTTGAATCAATCGCGGATCCAGCAGCTGAAGATTGGTCATCCGGGTGGAATAGTTCAGCAGAATTTGATTCAAGGTCAACAGCAGACCCGGATTGTCCAACAGATTCAAGGTAATCGAATCATTCAAACGGTTGCCAATCCAAACCAGCCGGGACAACCGCTCGGTGCGGGCCAATCGGTGCTGCATCAGCAGCTGCAGCAACCGAGCCAACCTGGCGCTGTACCGGTAGCTAGTGTACCAGGTCAGCCACAGCCTCCCCCACCGCCCTATCCGGAACCACCGCCACCGTATCCGGGAAGTCAACCTGGTGCCATGCCGGGTGCTCCTGCAGTCAATCAGGTTAGTGCTGTTTGTCTGTTTTCATTCACCGATTTCAATATGCTATTTGCAAGTTCGTTTATATGTTTATTGAATGATTGGTGTGATTGTTTAAGTATCTCGATATATAATCAATTCACAAAAACATTCAAACGTGAATTCTGCTATAAAAAAAAACAAAGACAAGTACCAGACAATTTGTCACTAAAAGTGCGTTCCATTTTGTTTCTACCAATTTTTTCTTCTTTTCTTCTCATGCATGTTTGTATATACAAAAAAATCGAACCAAATAATCTTAAATTGTTTTTGAAAACGCTCATCTCCCTATAACGTTTATGGCGATTGTGTTCCATTTGAATGTGGCCGTTGTTCCTCTCCGACTAACCACCAAAAATAATGAATGAAACTCGCCTAACGAAGCATTACCAAATAACGCATCCACCGCCGCCGCAGCCGCCGCCACCACCTCAGTCACAACCGCAATTGCAAACCCTGCCTTTACCACAACCACCACCACCACCAACATCACTACCATCTTTGCCACCACCAACACCACAACCACTTCCCTCTCTTCCTCCGATGGGTTCCTTCCCGTATGGAGCGGTGGTGCAGCCCCACAGTCATCAGCCTTCGAGTGGCCTGTTGCCCCCGATGGATCATCATCACCATCTGGCTGGGCCGCATCATGGCAACTATGCGCAAAGAAATTACTATCCGGGTATCTCCGCTGCAAGACGATCGTTGCTGCTAAAGGTGAGCCAAGCCAAAAGTCTGTCCTTCAACAAGCAACTTCTCACGGAGCCAGAAAACTTAGAAACCAGTAATGTGAAATCCAATTGCACCACCAGCATCCAGCAGATAAAAAAAAATCGAAATGGTTTTTGACTAGCGTAGTCTTTCTTTTTTTTTTTTTCTTCTTTTGTTATATTTGTAGTGCCACTCACGACTCAAGCTTTTCTAGTTACTCACTAACTGCCGACATAGGATCAGTAGACTGATCAATCTTCGAATTGTTGACCATCTTTTCGAAATGTTCGTTGGCTGAAAATGTTCCTTTGGCTCGTCAGACATTCTGTAAAATTGCACTTTACAAAACATCGCGCAAGTTATATGAAAAAAAAAGAAAGAAATCTCAGGCATCTTCTGTTAAGGCTTATATCCATTGTCTAGGGAAGAAATGTTGCTTTGCTAAGAAAATTTCTGACTTTAGGTTTCGGTCGGTCTGAAATCGATTGTGCTTCGTTACTCTGAATGTTGTTATCACAATTGGCTTGAATCCGATGAACCCAAATAAAAAAAATATTCAAACGAGTAGGAATGAATAGAGGATGCAAACACATTGATTTGGGATTATGACATTCGGAGATGTGATATTCGGAGTAAAGACATTCGGGACAATGCAGCACAGCCCCAGAAATCATATAAGAAAGCGAACCGAAGAACCCCCACGCAAACCAACAACACCACCTGGTAGGGTAAATTCTCCCCTTCCCGATAGTGCTCTTGGTTTGCGTGGGCGTTCTTCGGTTCACGTGAAAAGGGCCTAACAAGTTGTTTATAAAAGTTGATAGGCTATTTTCTAAAGTTACGCGAGAATTACGTTAATTTTTAGTAAACACGGCAAGTTTAATCGTGAGTTTATTCCGTGCATTGGCAATGAGTTGGAAATCTCGCTAATAAAGCATTAAAAAAATTGGTATGTTCAGATGAATTATTCAAAAACAATTGCTCTATTTCATATGCGTAGTCGAAAAGTCTAAGAAAAATATTAAATGGGATTAGAGGCTTTTAAGTGTAGAGTATAAGCAAATTACAAAAACATTGAAGACATGCTGACAAAATCTGATCCATGCTGTATAGAAGTACATAACTCACTTCCCTAAAAGGCAATGCAAAAGTGCCGAAATTTTTCGAAGGTATTCTGGTGGGCCAGGGAACGATTTCGTATTGTCAACAGATTTACAAATATGCAGATTTAATAAACTACTCATAATTGTAATGGAAAATTCTTTCCCTGTTTGGATTGGATTTGATCACAGTTTCTGTTATCAATAGTGGCCACCACTGGGTCGACCATTGACCCATGTTCTTTCCCGACTTTCACACCTTTTAGCAAAATTACCGACAACAACGGATAACGACCTTTTGTAGTCAAAGCAGCAAACGGCAATGTGTTTTGTTTCATCCAAAATCGCAGGCTTCCCATCATTTCCACAACCATCAAGCGATTGCAATTTCCCCCCATCTGTTCCTAACTCTCTACCGAAAGCTTTATATAATACCCAATGAAATGAATCGGGAATGAATCTATCTAGTTTTGTGATAAAGAAAAAAAAAACACACTGAAAATTTTCCCGCATCAAACCTATCGCACTATTCGTTCGTAATCGAGCATGTAGCTATAGTTGTGCACTCTCATGGGAATGTGATCATGGCCGCATCAGGATGCATATTTATGCAGCACGTGTGACTCTCTATAGAGTAGCTACTTAATTAGTTTCGTTTGTTCTATTTCCGTGTGTTCAATCTTTCCGAAACTAGCTGGAAAGTGAAGCTAGAAGAGTGAACCACTCCAAACTTATTTCAAATAAGTGCAAAAATGCATTCCAATTGTTACAGGAGCAAAGACTACTTTTGGAAGACCTGTTGGAGCAGGAGAAACGCGAACAAGCTGGCCAACTGGCGGCGGCGGCCAACGATATAAGCAATTCGAACATGCCACCGAACATGTTGTGTGAACAGGTAAGAGGTTGGTTTGGAGAGTGCGTGTGGATTTTTTTTTTTGCTAATCGTTTGACCTTATCCGATTGATTTCAACGGATTTTTGCTATAATTTGCGTTGTTTTTTTTTACGTTGAATTAGTAGAACAATTTTGGTTGACAATGGTTTGTAATAATAATTAGGGTTTGGTTTCAATTCAATGGAAGTATAATCGAAATTTTTCGTAAAACGTGTTACTTCCCGCTAATAAACTTCATTTTTGCGGTTCCAGTATGTAGCAGTGTATTTTTATGATCTAACCTATAGTCGCTATATTCATAGTCTGGCGGATAGAATCTTGGGATCCAATTGAGCTGTCAAATAGCGGAACCAATCGAACAAAACACGTCCAACAACAGAAAAGAGCACAACAGCTATTGTGAACAAAACTTCGGAAACTTTTTTTCTCGTGACTCAAGGCTCGCCTACGCAAACTAACAACATCTTTGGGTTGGGAAAAGTTTTCCCTATCCGTCCTACTTCGATTTGATTGTGCTGGTGCGTTCATTCAGCCAAAACACGTGCGAATGCTACACTAGTGGAAATTAATATAAGAACACTTTAAAAAGCATGAGAAATTCTAAATCATGTACGTTTGGAAGCCACATTATGATTCTACAATATGAACCTAAGAAATAACCAATTCCACCAAAACCATCACGTAGAGGAAATAAATGGAATTGTGATTTTCTCCTACGGAAATAAATATAAGGGAGGAATTGGTCATTGTCGAAACATTATTTAGCATGTCAACAATTATTGTGACATCAAAATAATCAAAGAGTTAGTTCAAATAATCATTAAACTTCATGTCTGAAAAGTTTAAAGTAGATCCAATCGCTAGAAGTTCTCAAAAATCACAAAAATCATTGGATGATCACACGGCGAATGAGAACGACTCAAATTTGAGTTTAGTTCACTCATAATCGCCAAAAGTGCAGGAACTCAGCGATGAGTAAAATTTGTCTTATGGTTTCCTGTGGAAAACCTCAAAAATCTGCCGGAAAATGAGGAAATTGACGAAAATTTTATTCTGTCTCGGAGTAGTACCAATAGACTGAGTGAATCCAATCTTTACTTTTCTCAAATTCGGGAATTTTTCCCTGGAAAATCCTGGAAAAACCTGGGAAAACATGAGGCAAATTAACTCATCGCTGAGTTCCTGCACTTTTGGCGATTATGAGTGAACTAAACTCAAATTTGAGTCGTTCTCATTCGCCGTGCAGTGATGATCACATAGGAGATACATACATTTAGGCGTTTCACGTAGAAATTATACAAACTTAAATATAGGTTATGGTTTATCTAGATGGGAGCTTACCATCAACCATACTGTCATTGGTCGAAAGGTACAGTAGCAGCACCTCCCCTACCCGTGTTTCCTCGAGATCGTCAAGTCCACGATGACAGGAGCACATACAGTGGTGAAGGTAACAATAGCTGCATTTTTTTTTTGTTCTAAATAGCTGCAACATCCAAACCTACGACTATATGCCTCCCTCCAGATAACAACTTGAATGCGGTACACTCGATAGAACTGTTTCAAACACATCGTCAGTACATGAGCAAATCGGTGATCAGCTTTTTTTGCCAGTGGGGGGGGGGGGGATACCCCTCATCACCCCCTTCAAAAGGGGGAGTTTGGAAAGAGAGATGATTATCCCGATTCGTACCTTCCTCAAAGTTGTGTTTGCCTGCTTTCTACTCTCTATATACATTTTTCACACTGCCGTACCAACGGAACTATCAACTCTATACTTTCATCTCCTCACCTACCGTATAAAATGACCACTTTTAGTTAAAGCCCTGAAGTAAAAGTATGAACGACTGTCACCACAAAACTGAAAATAGCTGTTCCAATCGAGCAAAGCGGTGCATTTTGACGGTTCAACATCATCAAGAGAAGTAATTGTTTACAAAAGCTGTTAGGCCCTAATTCCAGCTCTATCTAGAAATACGAAACCATCAAGAAGCGTTTGATTTCCCGATTCCAAGTGTCAGCGCAAGGGAGATTGGAGCGACTTTTGGGCGCTTGCGACCTCGGAGACAAGCGTCCTACACATCTTCTGGCGAAAATGCAGGAACTTGCTGCGGGCCTGAATGTTACGGATGATTTGCTGGAAATGTTGTTCCTCCAGCGGATGCCACCGAGTGTCAAAGCCGTTCTCGCTATCAGTGATGGTACCATCGGGAAACTCGCCGAGATGGCAGACAAAATGCTTGAGGCTCCCTCGTCACACGTCGCCGCAGCCTCCACCAGCTCCTCCGGAACAGATGCCGTCGCCGAGTTTCAAAGCCAAATTGCGGCATTGACAGTAGAAATACGTAGCCTCAAATCGTCGAGAGGGACTTCCAGAAGTCGATCCACATCGAGATCAAGCCGAGTGACAGACGACGAAATATGTTGGTTCCACCGGAAATTTGGGGGCGTGCTTTGAAATGCCGTGAACCCTGTAAGTACAATCCAAAAAAAACTAGAATCTCGTTCGCTCGAAACGGCGGGAGTGAACGCAGACCCGGAAAGCCGCCGTGTTCTGTTTTACGATCGTTCATCCAACATGAGATTTCTTATCGATACCGGTTCTGATGTATCGATAATTCCAGCAACAAACAAGGACAGGAGCAAAGGTGCAACACCGTTCGTTTTACACGCAGCGAATGGATCAAGAATTAAAGTGTACGATAAACCACAGACATAACACTCGCAAGTTGTTCATCGAACAAGCATTTAACGGTAAATTTAAAAGTATCGTAGTTGGTAGTACCGCCACCTGTGGCGCGCGTAGTCAGTTTCCTTGCGTTTGACGTTTACACACTACCGCCATCTGTTTAGCGTACTACCCACCACAGTGTACTCAACAGATGGGGGTAATGTTTTAGCGACGATGTTTTACAGTGAGAAATATTCAATGTGTTATGTCTGTTTGTCTGTGGATAAACGATACGTCACAGATTTAGGACGACGTCGGCGCTTCATTTGGTCTTTCCTCGTGGCAGATGTGGGCGTTGCTATAATCGGTGCTGACTTTCTCGCAACGTTCGGCATATTGGTAGACCTGAAACACCGGCGCCTTGTGGATGGTCTAACTAAGCTTTCGTCGACTGGAGGTTTGACTGATGCATCCGTTCACAGCGTTACAGTAGTTGCCGCAGATCATCCGTTCCGAGAACTTTTGTAAGAATGTAAGGAAGTCACCATGCCGACAATGATAAAAACAGCAGTGCAACACGACGTTACTCTTCACATACAGACGAAAGAACCACCGGTAGCAAACAAGTGTCGTCGAATGGCTCCGGACAAGGTGAATGCTGCCAAGAAAGAGTTTCAGGTTATGATCCATATCGACATTTGTCGTCCCTCCAGCAGTTGTTGGTCGAGCCCACTTCACTGCGTTTCGAAAAGAGACCGGTGAATTGAGGTTTGTGTACCTCATATTCAAGACTTGCTTAACGCCTTCCAGGGAAAAAACATATTCATAACCCTGGATTTGGAAAGAGCATATCATCAAATTCCTCTGGAGGAGGACGATATACCCAAGGCTGCAGTAATAACTCCGTTCGGCCTCTATGAGTTTACTCGAATGCAGTTTGGGCTATGCAATGCTAGCCAAACATTCCAGAGGTTCATGCACAGAGTTTTCAGCGATATGGATTTTGTGGTGGTCTTTGTGGACGACATTTGTATCGCGTCACACACACCCGAAGAGCATTATAATCATGTGCGGGCCGTATTTCAACGATTAAAATCCTACGGTCTTGTTATAAACGTGGCCAAAAACTGTTTCGCAGAGAGTAGAGTTAACTTTCTTGGATTCGTGGTGAACAAGGATGGAATCCTCCCCTTGCCGGTTAGAGTCAAGGCAATTACAGACTTTCCAATCCCTTCCACCGTGAAAGAATTGAGACGATTCCTTGCATGACTGAACTGTTACAAAAGGTTTGTCGCGCACGCGTCTGATCTACAGGCTGATCTCCGAAACCTAATTCCTGGAAATAAAAAGAACGATTGTCGGAAAATAGCTTGGACCGATAATGCCAACAATTCGATCAATGCAAAATCTCTCTAGCGAAAACCGCACTTTTGCATTACCCCGATTCCTCGAAACCGTTGAGTTTACTTATCGATGCACCAAATACTGCAGCAGGCGCTGTGGTACAGCAGTTCAACGGCAGCAAGTGGGTTCCACGGGGCTGCTATTCGGAAAAGTTCTCGCCGGCTTAGGTGAAATATTCAACGTTTGGCCGGAAACTGACAGCGATGAAGATGTCGGTGCAATACTTTCGTCATATGCTGGAAGGAAGGAGATTCGTTATTTACACCGATCACATGCCGTTAACACACGCTTTGGCTTCAAGTCCAAGCAGTCGTCTTCCACACGAGGAGCGGTACTTGCGGTTAATCTCGGAATTTTCGAACGATATTCGTCATATCAGCGGACAGTTCAACTTGGTAGCAGACGCCTTATCCAGAACAGAAACGATTTCTCTTCCCGATTGACTACGACGAAATTGCTGATGATCAAGTCGCTGACAACGAGTTGCAAGGCCTGCTGGATTCGTCTTCTGCGTTGAAACTGAAATTGCGCCAGACAGCTTTAGCATCAAGACACCTGTATTGTGATGTGTCACAAAACAAAGTAAGACCATATGTTCCACCTCAGCATCGTGACGCTGTTCTTCAACATGTCCATGGCCTTGCTCATCCAGGAGTGCGTTCTACTCGACGACTTGTAGCGGATCGGTTCGTATGGAAGAACATGAACAAAGACATTAAGTTACTCGTGCAGAACTTCCTGCAATGCCAACGTTCCAAGATTCATCGCCCCACAGTAGCTCCGCTTCAGAGTATTCCTCTGCCAAACAGCCGTTTTCGACATGTTCATGTGGATATTGTGGGACCGTTGCCACCATCGAATGGCAACCGCTATCTACTAACAATCATCGACCGTTTTTCTCGATGGCCTGAAGCCGTACCACTTCA